AGATAAACGGAAAATTTTTTTAGGACGGTTTGCCTCAAGAAACCTTCAAAGGGATTTTGAGGAAGTTGTTCCTGAAAAGGATAGGGGTAAAATCACTTTTATGGAGATGACAGCAGCACTAAAGGGAAGATATGATATCAGTAGGAACAAAACACTTGCCAATTTTGAGTTTCACAAGTTGTTTCAGAAGGAAAGTGAAAGTTTTGATTCTTTTACAGTAAGAGTAAAGCACGAAGCTAAAACATGTGAATTTTCTTGCACCAGTGAAACTTGTACAGTCAAGAATATCCTCACCAGAGACCAAATCATCATTGGAACATCGAATAATGAAATTCGCAAAAATGCCCTAAAGAACCAGTGGGACCTTGATAATCTGATTAAAGGTGGGAGACAACTGGAGGCAGCAGCAAGAGGGGCACAGAGAATCCATGAAAATAGTGAAGCACCTGTCTCCAGAATAAAGAGACCAGGAAAATACTCCAGAAAAGGGTCAAAATCAAAATATGAAGGAAAATTGCGAGAGAAATATTCCAACTGCCCAAATTGTTCATCGAGAGTATGTAAAGGAGGAAAGCAGTGCCCAGCAGCAAATCGTGAGTGCTTTGACTGTGGTAAAACAGGACATTTTAAAGGCTCGGCAATATGTAAAAAGAAGAGAGAGAAGATTAAACCTCGCACTCGGCGGGTAGAGAGCAGCAGCAGTAAGGATGAAAGCTCTGATACTGAAACATGCACATCTGAAAGTGACTCAAGTTCTAGCCAGAATATTAACCGTGTACGGTTCATGAAGAATGTTACAAAAATACGACGCATGCGTATTCGCCAGCAGATGCGCAAAACATCAGAAAAATCACGCTATCAAGTTGAGGTGATAATTAAAGAGCGAAGAGTAAGTGCATTTGCTGACACAGGGGCGGATATTTGCGTAATGTCTAGGAAACAAGCTCAAGCTTTGGCTTTGCCCCTTGGAAAAACGAAGATGAAAATATGCCCATATGGATCAAAATCAGTAAAATGTTGTGGTTACTATATAGGCACAATCATGCATGGAGAATCAGTTGCCAATGCATGCATATACGTGGTCAAACAGGATCTTGAAACTTTGCTCAGTGGAAGAGTTTCAGAAAAGCTAGGAATCATAACATTTAACCCAACTCCAGATAACCAACAGCCAAGTATTCGGCGCAACACAGAAATCAGAGATGACGTTAAAGCAAGCATTATTTCGCAATATCCAGAGGTATTTACAGGTATTGGTACATTAAAAGACCATTTTGTGAAGTTTCACATAAATGAAAATATTCCCCCAGTAGCCGCACCGGCCAGACCTGTTCCATTTCATTTACGGAAGAGATTTGAGAAAGAGATACAGACCATGGAAGAGAACAATATAATAGAAGAACATATAGGACCAGCACCATGGATTTCAAATGTAGTGCTCGCCCCAAAAGATGATGGTAGTATTCGAGTCACTGTTGACATGCGTCAAGCAAACCGGGCAATTGAATCAACAAACATTCCAATTCCCAGAGTAGAGGACATTAAAACACAACTTGCAAGGTGTCAACATTTTTCTAAACTTTATTTTAAGTCTGCATTCCATCAACTGGAGCTTGATGAAGAGTCTAAGAAGGTCACAGTGTTTCATGCAGGTGACCGACTGATGCGGTATCGAAAACTTACTATGGGCACGAAACCAGCCTCTGGCGAGTTGACAAAGGCGCTTCTTCCGCTATTTCAGCCCATTCAAGAAGCACATGTTATCCATGATGACCTCATCATAGCAGCCAAAACAAAGAAACAACATGATCATGCATTAAATCGCGTCCTTCAAGTAATTGCAAAATCAGGAATGACTTTGAATCCTGATAAATGCATGTTTGATAAGGAGGAAATTCCATTCTGGGGACTACGTGTCTGCAAAGATGGTATTAAACCGGACCCAGAAAAGGTCAAGGCATTGCAACATGCCTCACGCCCACGTTCAAAGGATGAACTACAATCTTTCCTCTGTATGATCCAGTCAAATAAAGACTTCATACCAGACTTAGCAAGCAAAACAATGAACCTACGGATGCGAACAAAGAAACACAGTCGCTTCACTTGGGATAAGGAGTGCCAAAGAGAATTTGACAGGTTGAAAGTTGCATTCAGAGAAGACACTCTTCTCCGCCATTTCAATCCTGAAGAGGATACATTTATTTTTGTGGATGCGCATCTTTCAGGACTATCTGCAATTCTGATGCAAGGAGAGACAAGTGATAGTGCAAAGCCAGTAGCATTTGCCAGCCGTGCCACAACCCCAGTAGAGCAGAGATACCCACAGCTAGACTTAGAAGCACTAGCCATTGACTTTGGATTGCGTCGGTTTCGCTACTTTATTGCAGGAGGTCCTGAGATCAAAGTCGTTACAGATCATAAGCCCCTGGTAAGCATTTTTTCTAATGCTAGAAAAGGGTCGGTCAGAACAGACCGGATAAAGCTGCGTCATCAAGACATGAAATATAGAGTAATCTGGAAGGAAGGGAAAGTTAACCCAGCTGATTACCTTTCCCGACATGCAACACCATTTAGTAGCATCAGCAGAGATCAACAAAAGAAACCAGTGAACTAGAAAAAACGGTCTGGCTTCTTCAATATGCTCCATACACCGAGTCCATTTCTATGAGTCGAATCATCGATGAGACAGATAAAGACAAAACACTTCATGAGTTGAAGAAATACATTAGAAAGGGATATGTACCAAAGACAAAGGGTAATCTCGCTCCATTCAAAAAGATCTTTGCGGAACTTACCATCTCAGATGAGGAACTGATAATGAAAGGAAAACGCATTATTCTTCCTGAGAGTTTGTGGGACATTGCCCTTGTAAAAGCCCACCAGGGAGGTCACCCTGGAATGAACAGCCTTAAACGCCGCCTACGCAGTCATTTCTGGTTCCCAAAAATGAACCAAAAAGTGGAAGAGAAAGTGGCATCCTGTAAAGAGTGTCAACTATTTACAAACAAGACAATGCACGAACCCATTCAATCTCACAGAACGCCGGAACATGCATGGCAAGATGTAAGCATTGATCTGTTTGGTCCTATGCCCGACAGTAAGCATGTGTTGGTAGTTCTGGATAAAATGAGTCGATCTCCTGCAGCAAAGCTTGTCCCAAACACCGCAGCTAAGCCTGTCATTAAAGCATTGGATGACATTTATACAGATTTCGGTTATCCTGAAATGCATCGCACAGACAATGGACCACCATTTGATTCAAAAGCATTTGCTGAATTTTCCCAAGGCAGCGGTATTGATCATGTTAAAACCTTCCCGTATCACCCACAAGCAAACCCTGCAGAAACATTTATGCGTCCTCTCGGGAAAGCGTTAAAGGCGGCCCATTTCAATAAAAAGGATAAACATACAGCTATTAAGGAAGTCCTAGCAACATATCGGGCGACGCCTCATCCTGCAACGGGAGTACCACCGGGAGATCTCTTGCTTCGTAGTGGGTATCGAAAAGATTTTCCGCGACGGCAACTGACTGAGCAACAGATACGCGAGGCTCAGATGCAAGACAGAGCACAACGTATGTCTCGAGAGGACCAAATGAACAGGTCGACCCATAGAAAGAAGTCCATCTACACTCCAGGGGATCTTGTGTACATGCGGAACATGCAGCGGTGCAAGTTTGATCCCATCTTTGGGCCAGAGCTGTATAAAGTCCTGTGCACAGAAGGTAGCGGCCTGTTACTAGAAAGTTTGGCTGATAATAAAAGTTTCAGAAGGCACTGTGATGACGTAAAGCCTGCAGTTAGCCAAGGAAAAATCGAGGACCATACTATTTGGATAGAGAACCAAGCCCATCAAACAGAAAACGCGAACAACCAAGATCCGGTTCCAGACATGACAGAAGAGCCAGTAATTGCCCCAGCTGGCGTTACTGCGCAACATCCAAATGAGGACAGGGCTACAAGACCTCGGAGGGAAACTCGTTTACCTGCTAGGTTCAAAGACTACGTCCGTTACTAAAAAAGGGGAAGTGGTGTTGTGTCCGCCATTTTTGGGTTGTTGTTGTTGGAAGAGGAGGAGGAAGGCAGAAGGAGGGACTGCAGAGACTGACTGAGACCGTTTGCTTTGCAACTGTTATAATGTGATACTTGTTGTGTTATTTACATATATACATCAACAGCAAAAGGATGATGTCTGGTTTTCTTGTCTCGGAGACTTTATAGATGTTTATATATTTTTGAGTATTTGATATTTTGTTTTTATATAGAACTTCGATTTGTTTTGGTATTGTTTATATTGCATGCTTGCGTTGTGTATCCCACAGCTAGGCCCTCCATGTCCGCCATTACACTTTAACATTTGAAACGCATATGTGTCTCAGCCCATGCAAAACGCATATGACAAGGGCAACCAGTGGCGGATTTCATAACATCTGACCGGTGCTCAGATGACATCGAGCACCGGTGAAAAAGCAAATGATTGGCTAATGCTAGATCTGAGCACCGGTGAGAAAATAGTTGATTGGCCAGCTCCGTTTGTGAGAACTTTATTCTACTGACCCACTGGTGCTCGGAATATCGTCGAATTGGTCAGCACGCGGATTCTGCCAGAATCTCGTTCCGGTTAATATGCCACGATTTTCATCGATAATAATGCAACAAAAAGAAAATTCATTAGTTTACAGAATATATTTTTCTTTGCGGTACAGAATTTGGAAATGGTTTTGAAAAAAGCAAACATTTTACGACATACTAAAAGCTTTTTCGTCTGACACTCCTCAGAGCAAAAACGTCAGAATAAGGTTCCGAAATAACACGATGGATAATATATACCCAGTTGTGGATCGAAATAGGCCAATCAGAAAAACGCAAGCACAAGACCGGTATAGTTGACCAATCAGTGCCGCGAGCCTAAAGAAAAATTACCAATGGAGTCCAAGAGAGAAAACGAACTCCTTTTGTCTACACAATGGCGGCTTTTTCGTTTTTATGTAGATTAACTCCAAAACTGCTAGATGGAAGGACGACCGGGCTCTGCCATCAAACACGTTTTTTGTTTCTTTTTCTGACAGATGGATCTCCATTTGATATTTTGATTTTATATTTTTATTTCTCAAGCTAGAAGACGGTCTATCGCCTGTGAAGGAGGAGTTGCAAAGCTTGTTTGTCCCTTACGACAAAAATTGAAGATTCTTCAAGCTAATTATGGAAGATCAAACCGCAGTTATTGTCGACGTCACAATTTCTTGAATACTAGATGCAGAGCTTCCAGGTAAGATTCTGTCGAGTTTCTCCACATTGTATTCATCCCTCCTGTGTTCATTTTTAGCAACTTATTATTTTGTTTATTGATAAGAAATTCAAATTTTGTCGGATCAAAGCTTCAATCTATTCATATTTGGGCATTGAGCCCTCCTGGATTTTGATTTTTTTCTTTTTCGAATTCATTGATTTCCCTTTTTCAGATTTTTAATTTCTTACGAGTTTAAAGCACGCTCTACATATTTTTTGGATGCACTCACTATCCAGTGCAACGCTTTTGCGCACAAAAAATTGTCCGATTTCCAATGATGCTACGATCTTCAAAGTTTTTACCAGCAAGTCTGAAAAATGTTTTGCCCAGTCGTAAAGGAGCTGGGGGAAGTAATTTCTCCTACTAAAGGAAAACATTGTCCGGAGAATTGTGAGATAAATTGAGTTAGACTTGAATCATACTTTAACTGGGTTTGTACTAAATTAGAAGTCTAGCCTGCTTGATCTTCTTAAGATGCACGTACTTTGTTTCATAGGTTATCGAGCCTGGAACATAATCAAGAATTATGAAATTATTATTACTTAAGAAATCTTTAAAAACCTAAAAAAATGCTTCTTCGAAATATGGCGATGAAAACTACTTTATGTTGAACCGCCGTAGATAGAAAGAAGAGCATCTTATGAATTTTTAGGTGTCATTTTCTTGATTTCCGATGCCACCATATTGTGTTTCTAAAACGTAGCATTTTAGCAATTGGTATTTACGAAACCTTCAAGAAACTGTTGGAATTAGGAAACAAATAAAAATAAGAAACTGAATGGCAATCCCAAAGCATGTTTTTACAAGAAAATGGGGGTACGCAATGAACTGAATAAAGGCTGTAGCCAGTCTGCATAATATAAATATATATAGTAAAGTCCCTTCATGAGGAAATTCTTTTCCACAGGTCACTCTCAATTGTTAGAAAAAGATGTGACAGGAAACGCTCCTGTGCAGTTCCAGCAACAAACAGAGTATTTGGTGACCCATGTGGTGGGACATTCAAGTACCTTGACATAACATACCAATGTGCATAATAACCATAAAGGTAGGAAATAGTAAATTTATTGCTTGTAATCTTAAAGTGGATTCACTTAAAAATGGAAAATTTAATTGTTATTCTATTTGTTTTAAGCTAGGTAACGTTTTACGATAACATCTTCAAACAATACACCAATTCGACTTACAACCTCGTTTTGGAAATTTCTCCAAACTTATTTATACGACTTTTTTAAGCTCAGATATGGTTTTATCGCCATAATTGTAGGCCGAATACAATTTTTTATATTGTTTGAGCTTGTATTTTAGATTTTGCGGAGAAATGAAGTTTCAAAACTTTTAAGGGATTTGACCGCAAAAATCGTTTCGGGGGGAAACTTTACCCCCCTAGTTGCCAATCACGGTCAAATTCCTTATAAAATTTCCATCTTTATGTCGTCATAAAATCAATATCGTGATCAATACCATGATGAAAACTTCCAAGTAGATTTAAATCATTGCTCCCAGCCCGAATCTGAGGTCAAAAATGTTATACAACAGAATTTGAAGAATTTTTCAAAATGAGGCCGTAAGTCGAATTGGTGTATACTTCAATGACGGCCCCTCGAAAATCAGCTCAGATTAAGGCAACATTTCAGAATTTAAGCTATTATTATCAGCTATTAATACAAAAATTGCTAAGAAAACAACAAAAGGGAGAGCAAAGAAATATATTTGTTTTTATGATTTTTTTCCTCAAAAAATACCCAAAATGCAATATCAGAATTAGATTCCAGTATTTACTTCATTATCTCTTTCATTTTTTATGCTTTTCATTTTTTAGGTTGGGATTACCACAAGATAAGATTTTGTTGTTTTTGCATTCTAAATATTAATCACTTCGCATTCAGACTTTTTAATTGTACTGTGTTTGCCTTGCACTTCACTGTAATTTTTGATACAAATAGCTGAAGAAAAATAAAAATTATTTGTTTTTCTGTCTAAATTTCTCATGCCAAAGACACATCGCTTCTGTTAACCTGTGTGTTTGAACACCATGCCTTTTTAAATAATTTTATATCGAAACATAAACGTGGGCCCAGTTAAAAATATATTTGGATTGCTATATTAAAAATTTAGGAATGGAGACTGTGCTATAGGCAACTCATAGCAGCCACCGTTGTTTGAATTACCTAAGCTGTTTTCAGGGGGCGGCACTTCATACTTTTTGTTGAGAGGGGGGGAGGTGGCTGCATATATGCCCTGAAGAAAAGTTTTGCCTTGGCAAAAGTTGGAAATGTTGGGAACTGACCCTCAGTTCCCGTAACACTAAAGTACTTCTTAAGGTAAGTTGTTCCCGCTTAGGTCCTTGCTCAGTGTGTCCACAAGTTCACCGATGTGTTTGCCTAGCCTTGGGGAGACGAGCAAGAGAAAGTGTTTTAATGAGTGAGGCAACCCTCCATCCTGGATTCAAAGAGTATGCGCTCATTTTTTACAACAAACTTTCGATATACACACTAGCATTTCACAAGATGAGGGTATCGAAGCTTCCCTCAATGCCATCAAAAATCATTATGGGGAAACTACCCTGCTGCATATAAAATTCAACAGACAGTGATTTTTATTCTCAAACATAATTATATTGCCTTTACGCTCTCTTTTTATAAGAACAATTGTATAAGAACACGACCTTCAAAAATTGTCAAAAGTTGAGAACATATTAAGAACAAGCTGAGGCTGAGTTACTGTAAAATGTAACTTTGAACAATGTTTCATCTCAAAAACGAGAAGTTTTTTGCCATCTTAGGATGCTTCTTCGGTGAAAATTCAAACATGGCGGTAAATGAAGGTTTTCTCCCGCACTTTATTGGCAAATGAGGCCTGGACACCTCCCTAGAGCAAAAAGCTAGCAATCGCGCTGCTTATACCCTATAAATTTAAGAACAAATTAAGAACAATTCAGCCTCAGATTTTCGAAAAAATGAAGAACAACCAGCCTGAACTTCAATTTACTGGCTCTTATAAAGAAGAGTGTAATGGTAAATTTTATTTTATTAAATGCATTGCAACGGGGAAACCCTTTGCCCCAAATTATGCCAACATATTCATGACAACAATAGAACAATATATCTTGAGCAATGCCACGATGGGTTGTAGTCGAATATTTTGGAAAAGATTTATCGATGACATAATCTTCATCTGGCAAGCACAAGCTTGAAAATCTACAGGAATTTATACAAAATACCCTGTATCATCCACAAAAATAGATATAAAAGAGTATATGATCGACTCCCATCTTAAAGTCATGCTTCTGGTTACAGTCAAAGCAAATTTAGACCCAAATATGCAAAACTATTCCATCAAATTTTGACCCAAATAGCCCCGTTTACAGTGTCTTAGTTTTCTGGCAAGCGATGCTTGTCCTTTTAGTATGGTTTTAAAATAAGACACAGACATCAACCAAGGGTGTAACCATAGAAATGGGTGTAACACTTAAAGGCAATCTGTCTCGTTGTGGATTGGTTAACGAGAACAATAGCTGGAACAATAGCCTAAACACAATTCCAGCGCTCCGCCATATTTTTTGCAATGCGATAAATTAAAGGAGGACTGGAAACAATAAAAATCCCTTTGTTCTTTTAATCAATCAACGTCGTGACAGATTGCCTTTAAGGTGAAAGGAAATCAGAATCAATTTAGAAACCTATTCCACCCAGCCCAAGACCACTCTGGCAATTTCTACTTCGTGTCACTGGTCGTCTGTATCAGTGGCGTAGCGTGACTTTTTCAACTGGGTATTCTCTATTAAACAAAAGGGTGGGGCAAGGTGTGGCTTGATGGGGCTTGATGGAAATAGGAGGGATAATAGGAAGATTGAAAGGACTAGCTATTGACAATTTATCTAATTTTCTTTCTGGTTCGGTTGGCAAGTACTGCACTGTCAGGGCATTACTTTGATGAAAACGATACTTTGCTAAAGAACCCAACGCAAATATACTCTTCGAACTTATTCATTGCATCAAAATACCACTAACCATTTCATCAAAAGTAATTCAAATCAAAACGTATCATTGAAAGTCAGTAAAATTTTGTTGTTGTTAAATCCTCTAAAATTTGCACTGATGTAAAGAGGAAGTAACTGTAAACACCTTCTCTTGATACCTTAATACAAAAGGGCTTTCGAAAGTTATTCACATAGGGCATTACACGAGTTATAAATAGTTTGTGTTATGCAGTGGATGCAGTCTAGAATTCTTCATGGCTTAATCGTGATATTTTCAATACAAGTTAATGATTGAAAGAATCGAAGGTAATGAGACGAGAGACTGCACAATAAAGCAAATAAATGGGCTCGAATAATGCAAACAAAATAGGCCAACAATATAAGTGATTGCACCAGGCAACTATAACGATATTATCCAGGCCTATCTGCATTTACTTAAATTCTATCACATAATACAAACAGAAGCATCCCTGATTGACAAGCAATAACAAAATTGGCATTTCAAGAGGCACAGATCTGAGTCAGTGTAGCATTATATAGAAGCCTACCTTTCTTTTCGACTTTGCTGTTAGTAGGTTAAGATTAGGGGTCAAATGAGAGAATGATTATTAAACAGTAATACGGACACTGCAATAGCTTTGAATGAAGTCATGTTTACTGTTTTCGATGAAGATCCACCACTCCAACAGCTCCGACGTCCATTAACTGTTTATATCGATCTCAAAACGAGACTTTTTTGAACCAACTTTGAGGCTGTACGCTGCATATTTCTCAGCGTACAAGACCATTGTTTTAGCTGATTAACGGCAAATATTATTCATGGAAAGGAGCATTTTGATTGGTTAAAGTACCTACTAGGGTATTCACTGCGTATTCATGACCGATCTCCATTCAACATGAAGTAACTCAATCTTCAAAATTAGCTTCAAAGATCTCCCAGCTTCTCTATGCGTCGCAGCGTTATTGTTTCAAACTAATTTCGTGATATTTTGTACTTGTACAAAATGTAGAATATCGAAGGTAACGAATTCAACCAGAATCAATAGGCCATAAACATCTTTAGTTAATACAAGTATACGTCGTATTAATATATTTTCTGAGAAATCTCAGGGTATTCACTGAATACCTTGAATACCCGGACGCTACGCCACTGGTCTGTATCATTTTACTTTTGGAGTAGACAAATTACAAGCTAGCCTACTTTCTTGTTACAGTTACATAAGAAAAACAACAAAGAAGATCCATTGATAGAAAACATTTGCCCTGCGAAAATCAATTTTGCCCTGCGACAAGAATCCTACTTTCGTGGTTGGAGGGGTTAACCACCCTCCCCCATACCCCCCTCAAGTGACGCCCCTAGCTGTTTGAATTACCTAAGCTTGAATTAGGCAGATTCGACTATATTTATTAATCTAATTTCGTTACGAGAGGCATGTACATAAGTCAAGAATGCGACTAAAAAATATATCCTAACACATAAACGAATGCAAAACACGCGAGACTGCTCTAGCATTAAAATAGCCACATCCATTAAATTTTTCTAGGTTTAGAATTTGAGCAAAAATTCTTTAGGTCAGTCAATTGTACAATGAAGTTTGACTTTGGGTCTTGAATATGAGTAAGGTTGAGGAAAATACAGAAAAACTGCAAAATTTCTTGTGCAGGAGAAAGAAAATTATTATTTCGGGTAAATTTTAAGCTAGAAGTTATTCTTGTGGGTTGATGGTTTGAAGCCCAGCTTGAGCACCACTATACTAATTATATATGAGAACCCCGACCCCCAGGGCTAAAACGTAGACATCGGCGTTTCCCATTGGTGAAATGAGCGTTTCTGTTGGTATAAGGCCATTTTTGGCAGTATCAGAGGGATTGCGCGAACATTTGCATTACCTTCCTTACCCTGGGTGAGTCTGGTACCCAGGGTACCCCCCTCCCCAAAGCAACTGCGGTCTCAAATCAACTAAATTCAAATTTGAAATTATTTAAGAGTGATCTATTTTTCAGATGGATTGCAAAAGAATGCCATTCATGTGAAAATGTCTGAAAAATTGTCCCAGTATTTCTAACTGCACAAAATAGACGATAAAATGTCTCCCAGTAGTTTAACCAAACAATTTTCGCATTATTTTTTGTTTCCTCTCTTACTTGCTCTTCATTTATCATACTCTACATTAACATCATATGGTTTCTCAAAACTTTGGTTTTTCCCATACATGAATTTCAATTCATTGAAATTTCTAGATGAATCATTTCGTCCGCCTTACTTTTATTTAACCTATACTCTGTAAGGGCCACTAAGAAACAATTTTGCCGCGAAAATTGTATTGGGTGAGCCTCGATGCGGAGAGGAGGCGATAAAGAATTGGCGGCAGGTTTAGATGGATGGTTGTTTCGATAACAGATGGGAAGTCAAAGGTTCAGTTTACATAGGAACAGGAATGTCTCGTCTTGGAAATTCCGTTTGGCTCCATCAAAAACCGCTTTACTGCCTTCTAGATAGAGGTATATTTATGCACTACTTAAAATTTTGTGATGATCTGTGAATATGCGTAGACAAAACACGAAGCTTTATTTTTCCAGAATTGCATCGTTATATGATTCAAGGATCAACGCGATATACCTAACACCGGTTCAATTTGGGGGTCAAGGCTGGTGAAAGTTTAAAGATTTTGCAAAAATATAAGAGGCGGTGATGCACAACCGTCCTCAATAAAACCCTTTGTGTATGTGTAAAAGCACCCTACGAGTTTAAAACTGCAATCAAGATCCACTTGTTTCCTCTTTTTAATGAGCAAAGCAACTTTTTTCAGGCGTGAAAACTGGATTGATTCTGTTGAATAGGCCCCTTAAAGAGCATTTGCCTATCTTGAAACATCTGTGGAAAAACTGTAAGTGTTAAGTTTATATTTCAAAATCATTTTCTTTTAAAATTTTCACCATATAAGATTGCTAAAATTTCTTACAATGACAGCTAAAATTCAAGAATTTAGCAGTGTAGTGTCATTAAGTATGGCTGTTTCACATGTAATCAAATCAAAGACAGATATTAAAATTTCAATTAAGATACTGGAACATGAGCCAGCAATATGTAGCAGCAAAAGGCACAAAATATTTATGTTTTCTTTACTTTTTTGCTTTCAAATGGATACTTTCTTATCATTGGAAAAAATTCTTCTTATTGTTCGAAGAACATTTTGTAGTATTGATGCCTTTTCTTTATCAGCGGTGATCAAACTTTGTGCAGATGGAGGACTGAATAGGCTGCATGATGCAATTGGTGAAGATTCTGACAGGTAAGGTCATTGTTAAGCCAATAAATTGATGTATGCAACTTCTGAAAATGCTTTCATGGTCATTTTTGCACCAGAGTGCAGTTCAGCTCAGTGCACACAATAACAGGATCATTGTAAAAGTATGAAACCAAAAAATACTAAAAACCCCAAGTATGCCAATACTTTACCAAAAATTGGGACTTTGTACTTTCCATCTTTCCATTTAGACTTTGTACTTCTGAATCAGCGATATGGAGCTTGGGGCGCAAGGTAGTTTACTATGCTGTGTTAACACCTAAACACTGTGAAGTAGACTCTGTCTACTTTTGGTAAGGATTTTTGTTCTTGTCATTTTTCTACACCCAGCTTTTTTGCCCCTGATTTCAGTGACATATCTTGTTTAGATGAAGAGAACATTTTCCTCTAGACAATGGCAAACCTGGATGCTCCATGTAATTTTCTAAATGCATTGAAGAAAACCAAAAGACAATGTGCCAGTGAGTCATGTTAAAGTGCCCTTCCCATCCTTGGCTGCGAAGAACCATGCTGGGCCCACAGACAGGCTAAATGCATGACAGACCCCTTCCTACCCAAAGCAATGCCCTAAATGTGTTAAATTTGCATTTTAAGTTCAGAAAATAGTATTTAGTCATTTTACTCCATATTGTTCAAGCATGTAAAACTTTTCTAGTAAAGATATGATTTATAATTAGCTTTCAATTGAGATTTGTACTCTAAATAGAGACAATTCCTTCTTTTTTACCGGCCTAGGGGCAATTGTCCGCCTTGCCTCCCCTTTTGGTGGGCCTGCCCCTCCCTTGTGTTTTTTTACATTCAAATCTTTGTCTCAAAATTCTTGTGTAATTTCTTAGATGTCCCCCTTTTTGTTGCTTTGGCACTTTTTTCCAGTTAGAAAGTATTCAATAAAAGGATTTTCTTATTATACATAAAAGGAGAAAGGAATTTAACTCATCAAAAATCAGTGGCGGCTCGTGGGGTAAATTTTTGGTGGGGCTGATGATGTAATATTCGAAATCTAAAGCCATAGACACGGAACACCAAGAATAATGAAAAGCCTTTCCATTCTTTACTATCTCTAATCAACAAGGCTGTCATCATTTTGAAAGTTTCGATTGAAAAAAAAACAAGTGCTACTATCAATTATGTATAATTTTTAATAAGCAAAGTAATAAACTATGTGAAATGTTGGTGTGCTCAACTTTATTTATTCAAGTCCGCTGGACCGTTTCTCTCTTCACAAAAAGGGGAGTTTGTGGGGGATGTCCATAAAAACATAGACAACTTGAATATGGCCAACCCGTAGATGGCAATTAAAAATTTTTTAAAGAATAAAAGGTTCAAACTGTTAATTAATTAATTTCCATATGCTGTGAAGCTAAAATTGTTCCAGTTGAAAGCCTGCATTGGAAATATGCTTTATGCCATTAGAAGGCCTACGGCCTAGCCTTCCCATTTTGAGCTTATTTCAGGATCGGCAAAATTAATTCTGATAAAGATCTAACTTGTATGCTTTAGTTCAAAGTTTTAAAGTTGAAAATGCGAGTCATTGAATACACGCCACTCTGCTGCGCTCCACTTCAAGATCAACATTGCCTATCACATCACAACAACAAAAATTCAGCTACAGTTGAATTGAATTATTTGGGGCTAGTTTCAACTAGCCCCAAAGGAATGCAGATTCGAGCAGAATTGGCCAATCAGAAGGCAGTCATCAATTGAATAGCCAAGTCATGAAAGGCATTTGATTGGTGCATTCTCTGCTAGTTTGGGGCTAGCCCCAACAGCTCGGGAGATGGTTTCCGATACGCGTGTTTGTTCAGTTTTCGAAAGAACCGCGGGCAGCGGGACCTGAACAAACTAGAGAATGGACAAACATTGAAACTCGAAGCAACAAATTTAGTGAACAGTGCTAAATTAATAATGGACGTTGATTTTATTTACGTTTATAAATCTAAAGCTTATTTTTGGAAATTTTTGGTGGGGCTGAGCCCCACTAGCCCCAATACACGAGCCGCCACTGTCAAAAATAAGTCTAGGACAAAAAGTGTCACAGACACAGATGTAGAAATTTAGCTGTTGCTTTCACATATATCACCATAAAATTGTTCCTTTGTTGTATGTTTGGAGATGTTTTCTTTATTTGGAAAATATAATCAAGTATTTTGAAGGCAGTGGTTTTTATAAACCTCAAGAAATGCCACCAAAATTCCACTTCTGCCTCCTAAGTGTTGGAGCTCTGACAACACGTTGTCAGCCTTCATTCCTGTCCTATGAGTTGCTTTTTATATTTTTTATGTTCAGGTTTAATCAAATCATGATTCAACTAACTTTTTTCAACTATATTTTGGCAAAATGCATCAGTTGTTTTCTTTTAGATATATACCTGAAATTATCAGTGGTGACTTTGACTCCGCAGTTTCTGACTTGTTAACTCATTATAAAAGTAAGGTATGTACTCTGTTTCTATGAAATTGCTAAATATTTTTAAGAAATTTGAATAAAATTGGCTTGTAGTAGTTTCATAATAACATGCATTTCATTTCAAAATGAAACAGGACAAACATACTTGTCATGACATAATAATGCAATTTGGTGTCAATTTGAAATTTATCATTGAATTGAATATCTATATTTATATCTACCTGGTATTGTATTTTTTTCTTTCATTCATTTAACTTTATTTTGTTTCAACTTTTTTATTTTATTTCATTTCGATTCATTTCATTTCATTTTAACACACTGTATTGTTGCATGTTTTAGTCATCATGGATTCTGATCTCATTTTATATTCTGCATTGCAAGTGAATTTCTGTTATAATGTTCCCTAACTCTCTTAGAGTTGGTTTGAACCAAAAATATTTTGATCAACTATCAAGAAAGATGCAAAACGGAAGCATTTGTGTTTTTAGGCTGTCATTTTGTAAATATTTTCAAAATTTGTCAGTTCTTCTGTTTTCAGGGTTCCATGATTGTTCCAACGCCAAGTCAAGATGAAACTGATTTTACCAAAGGACTACATGTAATGTGTCAAGCCTTAAAAGAAAAGAATATGCAGGAAGAGGTAATAAAATAAATGTATCCACAAGTATCTCTGTAAGTTTCAAAATACATTAAGTATATAGTACTTTGTCTTCCTGATTAAAGAGTTCAAAATAGGTGATGTTATTAAGATCTCTTTAAAACTTTGTTTTTGAGAACATAGCCTGAAAAACAGTGGAAAATACCACTTAAGCAGTGGCAGCGCCAAGGGGTGGTATGGGGGGGGGGTAATTACCTCCCCACTTTTCTGAAAATATGGTCTATATATTTCTTCTAAAAATGGATTATAAAGCGCTGGGTAGGGGTAGATCAAATTACCTAAGAAAAGGGATGTATCACTGGAACGAGGCAAAAGGGGCGTGTCCACACTGGCCACGCCCATTACCCTCCCACTCTGTAATAGCTTACGGGGATTTCTTTGAGTGCAATATTCTTATAAGGTTACACCTTCGAATCCTATGACAGTTGTCATTTGATCAAAAAAAATCTTTCCTTCATTAGTATCCTTGTCATGATAAAACTTTGTAATTCCAACCTTTTTATGATTCAAAGTGATTTTTGTTTTGAGCACAAACAATCCAACATTGACTTGTATATCTTCTAACAACCGTGCTATTTAGCAGCTTGTGCTAGCTTTTGCACATCAGTTCAGTTTTGAACAGAACAACCCAATGGTACACAGAGACATCTAAACTTGGAATTTTATACAGGGGAACCTTCCCAAAGTTTTAAAAAACTTAAATTTGCTGCGGATATACAGGGATATACAAGGAAAATAGCTGCAGGGGCATGCCTATGTTAGTATAAAGGGGAAGAAGATAGCCTATTGTTTGGAGCACAGGAATGTTTCACGGGAAAGTTTCTGGGGCGGGAGGGGCAATGGCCTAATTAGTATGTTAAAAAACCCACGCTGCCTTTGTTTTTCCTTTCACTTTTCAAACGCTTCATAAGCCAAATTTGGGCCTACATTTGACAAATATGAACATACACTGAAATGCACTCAATTTGGACCCCCAAGTTTATCGTAATATTGTATCGTTATTTTCTGTAGGTAATTTGGAGTGGTACCAAATAATGACGATTATAAATCAACTTTCGAACAACGTTTAATAAATAATAAAACAATAACTTCTCATAGGAAAAATTTACAATATCTTGCGATAGAAATTTGCAAAACATTTAACGGTTTGAATCCACCTTTTATGGATGAAATATTTTCCACAGATGAATGCCCATATTACTTAAGAAACTCCCAAATTAAAACAGCGGAGCCACATTACAAAATATCTGGATTTAATACCGTATCATATAGATGTAGCCATATATGGAACTCAGTTACAAACGAAATAAAATACTCCCAACTCTACAAAATTTTCAGAAAAAATTCTCAGAATTTTCGTCGTTCACTTGCGACCTTTGCAAGGAATACTTATGCAACATCGGTTATATTTAGTTTTGATAATTTAAATTAGTTGGTTGTAATTAGCTTTAATATAGCTAGAGATTGTACCAACTTTAGATAAAGAAAGAAACAAATAAAGATACAATAAACTTGATTCAAAGACTCTATCGTTAAATTGTGTAACAATCTCGTAAGATTATCAAGAAAAGATACAGCTTGCATCTGGCATTCAAAAAGTTTACTATACTTTATCTTTGAAATGGTTCTCTCAGTCATCTTGTTTAAAAGTGCTATCTTCCTTATGATATGTTGCATAACACTGGTTTTACATTTGCAAAAAATTTTTTCGCCAATTTTGGATCATATCTTTGAATCATATTCAGCAGCTTATTCTGAAACCAAAGATATGTAACGAAATAGTTTGTCTTTGCTCACAGGCACTTTAACAAGGTTAGAGATTAGGCCACTGCTATTGGTCAAAAACCAAGAACAAATCAAAAGAGCTATTCTTCTTTTTGTAATACTTTTGTACCGCATCTCGATATAAATTTTCCGCTTAACGTTAGTTCTTTATCCGTCATTTTTGCCCTGAGAAGCATTGAAGAATTGCTTTCAAATATTCTATTCACATGGTTCCATTTTTTATGCCAATCTAAAGATTTATTTGACAACAATTATTTGTTTAGCAAAAAATATTTTCAAAAAAAGATATGTTATTCTTTACTATCACAGCTCAGAAATTTTCTTTCTTTGTTTGTTGATTTCTAATATTTGAAGGTTATATCAATGATACCTATTTAAATTTTAGTACAGCTGCATTGTGGCTTTGGGAGCTTTTGGAGGCCGACTAGACCACCTCATGTCAAATATCAACGCACTTTACACTGCAGCAGAAACACAAGATAAACCTTGTTATCTAATGTCATCAACAGAAATAACTTGCCTTTTACAATCTGTAAGTTCATATTTCATTATTTTGATTATCATTAATATTATGCTTCATACTAGCCCAAATATTCATGGAATTGCTTCAAAACAAAAAGACTCTTCTATCATACCATGAACTCAATTTTCCCATTCTATTTCTTTGCATATCTTTATTTAAGCACTCTACCCATATTATTCGCCGCTCTTTGATCCTTTCACTTAGGTCTCCCTGCATTACTCTTTCCCATCCTTATTCTTTTCATATCTTTATTAAGAACTCCACCCATTTTTATCGCCGCCTTTTGATCCTTTCCTTTTCGTCTCCCTAAATTACTCTTTCCCATCCTTATTCTTTTCATATCTTTATTTAAGCACTCCACCCATATTATTCGCCGCCTTTTGATCCTTTCCCTTAGGTCTCCCTGCATTACTTTTTCCCATCCTTATTCTTTTCATATCTTTATTAAGAACTCCACCCATTTTTATCGCCGCCTTTTGATCCTTTCCTTTACGTCTCCCTACATTACTCTTTCCCATCCTTATTCTTTTCATATCTTTATTTAAGCACTCCACCCATATTATTCGCCACCTTTTGATCCTTTCCCTTAGGTCTCCCTGCATTACTTTTTCCCATCCTTATTCTTTTCATATCTTTATTAAGAACTCCACCCATTTTTATCGCCGCCTTTTGATCCTTTCCTTTACGTCTCCCTACATTACTTTTTCCCATCCTTATTCTTTTCATATCTTTATTAAGAACTCCACCCATTTTTATCGCCGCCTTTTGATCCTTTCCTTTACGTCTCCCTACATTACCTTTTCCCCATCCTTATTCTCATATCATTTATTTAAGCACCTCCACCCATATTATTTCGCCGCCTTGTTGATCCTTTCCCTTAGGTCTCCCTGCATACTTTTCCATCCCCTTTTTAACTTTCTGTTTTTTTCATATCATTTTTAAGAACTCCCCATTTTTATCGCCGCCTTTTTGATCCTTTATCTTTACGTCTCCCTTACATTACTTTTTCCCATCCTTATTCTTTTTCATATCTTTATAAGAATCCACCATTTTTATCGGCCGCCTTATTTCCTTTCCTTTTACAGTTCCCTACATTACTTTTTCCCTTCCTTATTCTTTTCATATCTTTATTAAGAACTCCACCCATTTTTATCGCCGCCTTTTGATCCTTTCCTTTACGTCTCCCTACATTACTTTTTCCCATCCTTATTCTTTTCATATCTTTATTTAAGCACTCCACCCATATTATTCGCCGCCTTTTGATCCTTTCCCTTAGGTCTCCCTGCATTACTTTTTCCCATCCTTATTCTTTTCATATCTTTATTAAGAACTCCACCCATTTTTATCGCCGCCTTTTGATCCTTTTCTTTACGTCTCCCTACATTACTTTTTCCCATCCTTATTCTTTTCATATCTTTATTAAGAACTCCACCCATTTTTATCGCCGCCTTTTGATCCTTTCCTTTACGTCTCCCTACATTACTTTTTCCCATCCTTATTCTTTTCATATCTTTATTAAGCACTCCACCCATTTTTATCGCCGCCTTTTGATCCTTTCCTTTACGTCTCCCTACATTACTTTTTCCCATCCTTATTCTTTTCATATCTTTATTAAGCACTCCACCCATTTTTATCGCCGCCTTTTGATCCTTTCCTTTACGTCTCCCTACATTACTTTTTCCCATCCTTATTCTTTCATATCTTTTTTGATGAACTGCACTGATATCGTTCGTTATTTTGTCCTCTTTTATTTTACTTTTTCGTGGAAGCCTTCTTCTGTTTTTACGTTTTACAGTTCTCTTTTCCTTCGGTTCTAAGTTTCCCTTTAATTTTTGTTTTATTTTTCAAGGACTTTTCGTTGCTGCCTTTTGTAGTTCATATCGATTAATTTTTGTAATACAGCGTAGAACAGTTTCTTAATGACTGCATGTTGAACGTTCGTTTTTCCTATATTTTTCCTTGTTCAAGCATTTTTTCTTTTTTTCTAAGACACCCTGTAGTAGCTTATAGCCTATTGATCTCCTATAAAGAAGAACGATTCTTTTCTTCTTTCCACTTCCAATATTCGGGGGAGATGAACTTATGCTTTTGTACATCTTTCATGAAATCCGTTATATTCACTGAATTCAACTTTGTTGCTTTCATTTTCTCCAGGGTTCCCATATTCTTCATTTAGATTCGGGATTTGAAGGTGATTGGTGCGGGCTAATTCCAGTTGGCAATCCGGCTGAAAAAGTTTATACCCAGGGCTTAAAGTGGAATTTAGGTAAGATTTTGATTAAGACATAGAAATCATGCTTATATATAGCGTGAAATTATCATACTGTGTGAGAAAATAGTTCTTCTCATCCAATTTATTGCTATTGAACTTTTTGAATTTTCAACTAATGATTGGCATTGGAATTTTTTTCTATAAAATCAATATTATTTTTACTTCCGCCATTATATACCTGCTAGTGCTTTAGATCCTAACATGATTGCATAAATCTCCTTTAAAGGCAATCGTATATACTCCAAGTTGGTGAAGCCATCCGTCAATCAAAAATCGTCCAATCAAAAGGCGTAATACCACTCACACGCTTATTGATTGGCCAATCGTTTAATGATAGACAGCTGAAACAAATTTTGTGTCAATCTATGGCCGAAAATTAAGCTCCTGAACAATCATTTGCTGATTGATTCTCAGCACAACAGCTTCTACATTTGTGCATCAATTTTGTAATTTCAGAAAAAAGTAAGCGTCTAATCGTAACTTCAAAGTTTTGCCAAAGCCTAACTTGATTAGATTAAGAGAAAAGTAACGGGCTAGAGTTTAGCACCTTGTCCGATATTTCAAGTTAGGAGCCTCATTAAGTTTCCAAGGCCTGACTGTAGTAAAATAGCCTGTTTCCCTTCCTGGGAAAGCTACATTGTCCCTTGAGCGTTTCAATGTTGGCTTTTTTATCATGACTTTCCAAGTACCGTAAATCCTCGAATAAGCCCCCACGCTCGAATAAGCCCCCCCCCTCGAAAAGGCCCCCATCTAAAAATTCATCTTTTGCAAATAAGCCCCCAGGGGGTCATTTGAGAATTTGCGGTACTCTAGTTGGTCGCAGCAGTTTTCCACCAACAGGAATAACGTCGAATTGCGATTCGAGGCAGCCAAGTTTTGAATGAATGCAACTGCTTAGGAAAATAGATGATTTCAAAACTTCATATTTTAGCAATCATGATCCTATTCTCAAGTTTCATGTATTTATGTATTTGTTTCCGGCTAGCTCCCGAAGGTCGTTTTAGTTCCCACTGAGAAGCTCTGCTTATCGAGCAGTGGTCCCTTCTCACGATGTGAACAACATATTATTCGTGATTTTTATGCTTGAAATTTCAAAGAACTAGTCACACGAACCCACAGATCCTCTGGTCTGTTTTTGTTACTTCGTTTCATTGCATCCTCAGTTATATTTTCAATCACTCCCTGCGTAACCGTTATGGTTTTCTTGTCATTCCGTTGCTTAATGTCAACAGCTCACCGAAAAAGAAACTTATTTATGTATTGTTCTGTTATTAAAATATCTTTAAACTTCTCCCTCCTAGATGGACAATCCCTGGCATTTGGGTCTCTGATCAGCACCTCGAATCAAGTCGTAAGTAAAGAAGTGAGAATTGAGACAACAAATCCACTCCTTTTCACACTTGGGATAAATTACAAATAAGATATGAATATTATATATAAACAGGGGTGCCGTGGAGGGGGGTTCGGAGGCTCAGCCAAAATTCAGAGAGTTTTCTGGAGGGCTCAGCCTCCATCCCACCGAGGTTTTCCGTGAAATAGTGATTTCCTATCAATCCTTTTGTGTCGGTAAATAGTTCGGATGATTTGATATGTAGAGAATCTTTAACGTTTGGGTGAAGGCATGGGTGTGGCTTCTAGAAGTAGCCCACAACACTGCCCCCTTCTATCCTTTTAGGACGGCACCCCTATATCTAAACATATTTAGACGGAAAATCAGCTTGGCTTACTTATGTAACCATTGGAAATATTCTAATCATATTTAAAATATGCAGAGGTAATTAACGAGCAAATTTTATGAAATTAAACAATTCTCGATTTTGTATTGTCTGTTTATGCAAAATTTTCCCTTATTGTTTAGTTGGTGCAATGTATCTCTTTTTGGGATTGAAATCAAAAGCAAATTTAATCACACACCTTGCATACCAACTTGATTTCAAACCAAGCATGAGCAAGCATCGAGGAAAGCATAAGCCAATGTGCCACCTCCTAATCATGGATACATGGACATGAAGTCCCATCATGGACACTGGACAGTCCTTTTTTTCTAATGCCATGGCATCGATTGAAGTAAACGAAACATGGTGCTGCAATTTTCTCCATTCTTTCTTCCAAAAATATCGCCCAACTGTTTCCTGCTAATTTCTTCACCGTGCTGTCTAAAATGCCTGCCAAAAGTACTTGGAACACCCAGCAATTCGCATTGTATTTCATATCTTTCATTCCTTTTCCGAAAAAATTACTACTCCCGCCCCCTTCCCCCTAAAACAATGTTGATAATTTAGAGAACTATCCTAAAATCCTAACCGGTTTTATAGTAAACCAACATTTTTCCTTGGGGAAGAGGGGGATGATTGATTTTGACCATGGAAAATGACATCAGTGTTCCAAGACTTTTGGCAGGCATTGTAACGAGCATGAATGATAGGCAGTGGCGTAGCGTGACCTTTCTCGCTGGGGGAGGAGGATGTGAGAGATGCAAACCATATTTTACCGACAGAAAATCTTTTGTAAATTCACCGCCGAGTTCTCTGAAAGTTGGGGGCCACGCTACGCTACGCCCCTGATGGTAAGCAAGGGCAGGGTTAGGTTTCGAAATAAGGGCTTTGATTTCTGCCATTCTATAGAACATAAAGGGTTCTTAAAATTTCCTTCTGAAACTTAGTGTATCTTTAAAAAATTGTGGGGAGGGAGGCTCAAGCTTCTTCTGCCCCGATTCGTACTTTTCTGATTCTACTGACAGCTCGTTTGGATTGTTTTTATGCCTGTTAACCGTTCCTCTTAATATACAAGGCGGCTAGTGGCTTTCCTGAAATGAGATGAATGTTCATCTCAAATATTTCCTTCGCTACTTTTAAGGTGTCCGGCCCTCGAGAGATGCTACTTCAGATTTTAGGGGCGAAACACTCCTTAAAACTCGAATAGTCTAAAGAAACTTTCAACTTGCATGGTCGAAAATCCTCATTCTGATAGTGTCATTTTACTAGTGAAAAAGATGCATAAAAAGCAGCCATCATAGATGTCGCTGTGAGGATTAATAAAGTTTTTTAAATTCATTTCCCAAAACAGTGAAAATAATGTGATTGAGAAAACGTCACTATTCCACGGATGTGAGCCGGAGGAAGGTTATCTAACGATGCACTAGTTTCGACTTGGAGGAATGCCTAACGGAACTTTTATTTTTTTTCTGACAAAGCGCAAAAACGAAACCATACTCGAGACGACTTTACTTAAATTTCATTTTAAACGACTTTTGTTCAAAAGATACAAGACGGATTACAAATGGCGTCCAGAGGAAGGTTGAGGCGTTGTCTGAACTCTGGATTATTGCATTAAAAACAATTCTTAAAAACAATTCAAAAATAAGATGTTTCTAAGACAATCTCTGACTCAATATTTTGAGTCTCCATCTCAGCAGAAAAATTATTTCTCTTCACCGCTGTTCTTAGTGCTTCTTCCCAACAGCGCTTTCTAGCATGGTTACCAGATTGTTCCTCAGATTAAGACAAAATTACAGCACTCCCTAGTGGCGGCGCCAGCTGCTGCAGAGTGGGAGGGTAATGGGTGTTACCCGTGAGACCACGCCCTATTGGCCTCGTTTCAGTGATTTGTATAAGGTCAAATTTCCTTAGGAAATATGATCTACCCCTACCCAGTACTTTTTAATCTGTTTTTAGACGAAATATGTAGACCATGCTTCGATAAAAGTGGGGAGGTAATTACCCCCCCATACCACCCCTTGGCGCCGCCACTGGCACTCGCAGTCCTTTAATCGTCAAAGTAAAGTTCAAAATCTCTCCAAACCCTATCTTATTAGCATTGTATTGTTGAAATGTCCATCTTTCGAAGATACAGCTCTAAAGATACAATGTGAATAGTTCTAAAGTCTAAGAAGGTCATAGATATTATCCCTGAGACAAGTCAGAACCTCAAAAAACACTTCCCGTGCTCATCCTTACTTAATCTTTTTGCAAATTCAGGAATTTTGTCCCACAACTTGTCTCGTCTTTCCTTTCCAGAGCTTGTAAACTTATGAAAGCTTTAACCTCTTCTTGCTTCCTTGCGTCCTAACCTAAAACCTGTTTTTTCAAAACTAAGGTCAACAGCCTGGATTCCCCTTCCCACTGGCGGCGCCAGTCACTACGCTCTGGGAGGGACAAAACAAAAAAATGTAGTCCACGCCCTTTTAGCACTAGAAAACGCCCTTTTGCAAACAAGGAAGGCCAATTTTACCTAAAAGGAACGTCCATAACTAACTTTTGCCTATGTAAAGGCAGTTTGAAAATCAAAGGATGACATCAAAAAAAGTACGTTGCCAAAATATTACCCTTCCCCCAAAATTTTCTCATCGGAGAAAATACAAAATTGATCCTGCCGAGAACTGGGGGGACGTGTCCCCCCAGTCCCTCCCGTGGCGCCGCTTCTGCGCCCTTCCCCTCTTCATAGCTTCAATCTATTTTAAAACGATCTCAGGGACCATTTGTCAGAAGATAGACCTGTGTGTTATTTCCATTCATCTTTGCACTGTGAAAACTATCTTAGACAAGCATAAATTGGAGATAGCGCATATTTAACGGGCGGCTGTTCGAAGAAGGCGAGGTAACATTGATTGGACCATTTAGTTGGAGTAATGACTATTTTGCCCTTCTTTACCCATTCTTGGCCTTCAATTTCGAGTTTCTCTCCGTTTTCTCTAACAAGTTGCTACACAACTAAAGATGATCTGGGCATTCTCGTAGTCAATCAAGTCTATGATGAACCTAGACACACATCTTTACGACACCAACCCCGCTCCAAGAAACAAGACTCCCTGCATCCCTGCTCAGCCATAAGCACCCTTCTGCGGAGGACAACGCTACTCCCTCTTCTATTTGAGTGACACCGTCACAGCCGTCACAATTTTGCACCCTTACTTTTGCAACGTTCCTTTCAATCTACAATTTTTCAAAGAAACGGAAAGTATCACTTGAGACAAAACGTCTTCAAAGAGATGTGAATACACTTTCTATTTGACTTTTAAGAAAGTAAATAATAAGAATTGATACGATCGAGACCTGAATTCAAAAAATTTATCTAATGGTCCCTTGGCCTGACTGACGAAGCTGTATTTCAGAAATTGATAGTAAAACACTTTATATATTTTCCCTTAATGTCTGCTAGATAAACATGTTGGACAATTTGAAACATGTAGATTGGTTAAATTGGTTAGAAATCCGCTGATCCACGCCAAGTCAAGAATATCCTTAGGACCAGAGCCATTAAGTGCATTCAAGCGGTTTTTTACCCTAAAGTGTTATCAAATTATCAAAACGATCCTAATTCTGGCTGAAAAAAATAGCACGGCTTTTGCAATGTACGAAGAATGTGGAGGAATGGTACTTCGATATTATGAATTGGCGATGTGGACAAAACTAATGATGATGATGATTGATGATGATGATTGATGATTATGATTATGATTATGGTGATGATGATGATGATGATGATTATGATGATGATTGATGATTATGATGATGATGATGATTGATGATGATGATTATGATGACGACGATGACAATGATGACGACAACGAAGATTCCAAATGTATTAAAAGTCTGAACTTTTCTAGATGCGCTTCCAGTCTGTTTCCCAGACAACTAAGAACCTTTATGCTTTATGAGATTGCGATTCACAGACTTAAAATACCTAAAAAACGGTGGCACGAGCTAGGACTCGCCAAGATTACAGAACTCATTTATTGGGGCTCTGTGAGTGGAACCTAACTGGGAATCTGTTTTTTTATTTGACGAAGGACATTTTTTGCTTGATAACATAACACGAATAATTATTCTTATTCGGTTGCTTTATCAAAATGCGTTTCGCAGATTTACACTTTCTTGATAAACAGCGGGGAATGCTATGACGCAGTAAGTTTACCAAACCCAGATCTTTGAATTCCACTATCAACCTTTGCAAGAAGGAGAAATCGATGCGTGCCTAACGATCCCTAACGACCCGCGCTGACAAAACGGTTCCAGCATAATGATCTCGCGGCAGTGCAATTACTTGATTACGAAGGGGAATCTTTCGTACGTAATTGTGAGCAGCCAAACTTTTAATTTCGTAAACTTCCTAGTTGCGAGTGCAAAGATTTCTTCAACTCGGCAATTCAACTATTTGATGAAGAAATGTAGTCACAGATCCCAAGATTATTAATTGATTATTCCCGTAACTGTTGGTCTGACCTCACACGATCCAAATTTCTATTTTTGTTACGTTATTCCTGCACCAAACTATCTTATCCAACATGTTGACCCTTTCTTTTAAAAAAATATGGGGTCTGAAAAATTTCGAATGAATTTTTGATCAACCCCAGAGAAAATTGAAAAGTCCCTGCAAGCATTTTGTGACAATTTCGCAAAGCCTGGAAATCTTCGAATAACTTTCACCGACTTTGGAAAACTTGCGAAAAACTAAACAGATTTGAAACACTTACAATATATTTTCCACGACTCATGCATGAAAGTTAATTCTTGCAGAAACTCGTGAAATCGCATATTCCCGCACTTTCTTTTGTATCCTACATAGCAAATTGCAAATTATACGTCTAATTACGTTGACGCTTGACAGGATGAAAGCACCATTCTCGATTACGAGAAGTTTCTGATCTATTCTGGCTACCGTTCAACATGCACGTGCAGAACCAATTTTAACTGCACAACGTCACGTGCAAATCTAAAGGTGATTGGTCGAATCTAAGAGGATGACCACAAAGGGGATCTCAGGCTAGCAGCCGAACCCAATTTAATAGCACGATTATAGACCTAAGTGTCGATTAGCGAACCTCAATTGCCCACTTAATCGGGAAACTCACGATTCTCGATTGTTCGTTTGGGAAAATTGGGAAAATCCTTTGATTTTGGCATTCTATGCCTGCATTGTTTCGATTGTCCCCCGCCTTTGAATTCGGCTTCTATGTTTCCATTGTTGAATTCATCAAAATGCCGATCCATTGTTACACAATTGGCAACAATTCTACATATATATATATATATATATATGGATGCCCATCGAGCCGAGCAAAATCCCCCCTTCATGTACTCATTCTTCGTACATAATTAAGGCTTCGTAGAATTCTATTATTGTAAGACCTGGCATGTTTCGTAATGTCTTGCCCTATTCTCAAATTGTCCCAAAAACTCTTGTCCTGTATCTATTTATCAGATACTTCATTAGGCCTCATGACTCGACAACAATTTATGGTCCGTTTTCTACAAAGCGAAGTTTAATCGTCCTTGAATCAAATTGCGGCACCACGAGAAAGGGGTTGGTCTGGGGATCCCTTGTACTCTGCAGCATCGCCTTTGTAATCCGTCTAAATTTGATGAGAAATTGTGGGAAAAGGGGGTAATATCGTGGCAATGTGCTTGTGATTTTATGATTTTAAAACTTCGTTTACATTAAGCACAAAACATTTCAGCGGATAAAATTTCAGACTATATACTTCGGCAAAAATGTTTTCAGAGAATTTTTTTTTGAAATCTTGAACAATCAAATTTTCGGATACATGTTGACCAGCCTTTTGGAGTTTAAAGCAAAACCTTATCAAGTTATTAATTCACACATTTTTTTAAGATTGTTATTGAACTCTCGCCAACCTTGAAAGAATCTCTGAATACTGACAGTGTGACAATGTTACGAAACTTCCCATATCGAACTGGCTCAGATTCTTAGTTCCTTAAAAACAATCTTTTTATTTAAACTTCAAATTAACCACCTCAAGCCAAGTCTCCTTCTGATGTCAAAGTTTCTAAAATACGTAGAAAAGGAAAGAAAAATTACTAATGTTTTTGTTTATGTTCATATTTTTGGTCACGTTCATGTTTAAAGGCATACACGTTCAATGAAACTTGGATCAGCACTAAATACTAAAAGTTACTTATTGTGGCATCCAAATTTTGGGGTTTTCGTACTAAAATTTTCTTAGTTGTTTTCTTATTTCAGGACCTAAAATTCTTAAATTTTTTTGGCATCCTTGTGCTAGTTTCTAATAAACCAGTTTTTTTATAAATAAAAATGTGTATGCACTTATAATTGTTACAAATTTATATCTCCAAACAGGGTCTTCTTGCCCAGCCCAAGGCTACAAAAACTTTCTGGCTAAGCTAAAACCTCGAACTGTAAGATTGTATAAAAATCAAATATTCCAAATGGTGGTCGTGGGCGTTCCCTGTTGGTAACTTTTGCATTCCCCTGTCGGTAAAAAGGGCGTTCCCTGACTGTTGAAAGGGCATGACCCAATACTTTTTGCTTTGCCCTCCACATCCCCACCGCCTCGCGGCTGGCACCGCCTAGGGTTTTGGAGGCCCTGGGGCAAAACCGGAAAACGTGGCCCGCTGCGAGCGTAGCTAACAGAAATCTTTTTAGCGACCATGCCATTCACAAGCTTAAATTAACTCATTCGATTAAAATGTCTTAATGTTTTCAGCCATAAATTTTGTTATTTCTAATTAATTCCATTTTATAATGAAATATATTAATTTATGGGGCCCCCTAGACCTTGAGGCCCTGGGGAAGTTTTTATCTGTTCCTTTACGATTATTTTTCTTAATTTTTAGCTTTAATTTAACCTCTAAACTTTTTTCATTTAAAATAATTTGTTTAAACTACCAAATGAGTGTTGTTGAGTTGAAAGCTTGCTTGTAAAACACCCTTCCACTCGGCGGCCATTGGGTGGGTAGGCTACTACAGAGGGGCGTGTTGAATAAGCAAATAAGATCGAGATCTTCATCAGTCATTTTGGAGCCGCAAAACACAGGTCACTATTTACAATGACCTGCTACCTTGGGCTGTGGAAAAGATTTATGACTCCATGTAAAATTGAAATTCACCGGTGATAAATTTTTACTAAGGAAGTATCCTACGAAACATGGAGAACGGACACAACTCGTACTCAAGATTATGTTTGAGCGATGGTAAGTGGTTTTGTTGTTTTTATTTCAACAATATTAGGGGGAAACCGCAAGCTAAAGTTCGCCATGAATAACGTATCATTTACTTCTTTTTTATTAAACGGTATCCTTTTTGCAAATAGATATTCCAATATGGGATTTTAGATTCGCAAAGTAGTAATGAAATCCTAGAATTTGATATTGAAGACAAAATTTATGCCAATAAGTTCTTTATACCAATTACCGGCGATTTACAAGTTCTAAATCGCCGGTAAATGAACAACCTGCTCTTTTGGCTGAAAAAGTATAAATACTCTCATCTTCTCGTGAATTTTTCAAGGGATTCCAAGTCCTAAATTTATTATTACAGACACCTTAATCACGTTTTCGTGGGACCGACGATTCCCTAATCACGTTTTTGTGGGAGCGGGACCAACTATTCCCCGATCTTGATTTTGTGAACCCTCTTGTCGTTCCAAACGATTCCCCCATTCAAGACAGTGAAATACCCTTTCTAGACAAACACCCAGTTTAAGAAGGCTGGAAAATCCCAGGTTTGATATCACCCCTTTAATTAAAACGTTTCGTTTCGGCGTTTAATTGAAACATTTTATGCATGGTCATTGCTTCTCAAAATTCAGCATGCCTTGCCTTACTGTTGACAGCAGCTTTCAATAAACATTGTCGCTCACGCAGGCATGGAATTCTCAATTCTTCAAGTCGCTTATTTAAGTTTTATTCACACGTTTTCAAAATTTGTTTGTTATAAATCTGCTTCAAAATCTTCTCGAAGGTCAACTTTTTAATTGATTATTTTTTTAAATAAAACTTCAAGAGGCCGCATTAGTTGCTAACCGAAATTATTTAGAAAATAAAATGATATATTTAAGTAATTTTTTGCAATAGGAAAAAGATATGATTTCTCCTCGTTGGTATGCCGAAACGGGATTTAGAAGAAGACTGCAAACTTTCTTTGTTTTGTAGGGGAACAGAAAAAGGGTATTCACTATTTTTTTGTAAGAACAATTTTATAAAAACACGAGCCGCAAAATTGGTCGAAAGTTCAGAACAAATTAAAAACAAACTGAGGCTGAATTACTGTAAAATGCAACTTTGGACACAGTTTTATCTCAAAAACGAGGACTTTTAGTCATATTTGAACACCGTTTTATTGCAAATTAAGGCTGTCTCACTCACTTTGTTGGCAAATGAGGCCTGAACAGCTCTCTAGAGCGAAAAGCTAGCAATCGCACTGCTTACACCCTATTCATCTAAGACGAAATCAAGAACAATCCAGCCTCGGTTATTCAAAAAAATTAAGAACAGTCCGCATGAACTTAAATTTACTGGTTCTTATTAATTAAAAATAAGTGTAGTATTCAAAGTGGCTACTTCA